TAGCCTTCACTCCCCACACGCCTCAGTCAGCCTTGGGCGCCCAAGACCCTGTCACTAGTTCACCAGTTGGCCTTCCTTGGACCTTTTTTGGCAGTTACTTACCAGTGCATGCTGGGAACACCCCAGAAGACCAGCTGTTTTGGAGATGCTCTGACCAAGTTATCTATCCATCACAGTCTGGCCCTTGTCACAGTCATTCAGATCCTTATTCTTCCCCATTTTCCAGCTTCCAGCACATCAACTTCAGGAACTGACTTGACTTGCCTGATGTTATGGCGCCCTTGACAGGTACCACTGTAACAAGATAATCAATGTTATTCACTTCACTGCTCAGTGGTTTTAATGTTATGGCTGATCAGTGTATACTGTAGTTAGGGCGACAACAGCCCCCACCCCTGTGAATTATATGTAGTGATGCCGACCCAGAACCCTGCGCTGCGTGTCCTCTTTTTTTGGGGGGGGCTGCTCTCAATGTCACAATGTCACAATTCTGTCCTGATAGCATCTGTCATAATATTCATGAAGAGAAACCCCCACCCCCCAACCACGGCTGCCGCTGCCCCCCCCCCCCCCCCATCTGGTGTGGGGTTACAGGGAGGTTAATCAGCTGTGGCCCAGACTCTCCATTTCCACTCGACAAACTGGAGGGCGGCTAAATTGATTTATGGGAGCAAATGAAATAAAGAGGCCTTGTTCCCTGGAAGGATGTTGCAGAGAGCAGGCCTGCCGAGCCTCGCGGCACCTGGCGTCGTCACGCCCTCAGATGGGGAAGGTGAGGGACCCTAAACCTAACACTTACAACCGGGGAGATCGCCAGTTTCATCACCTGCCGAATTGGGGTAAACATACAATGTCTTTGTCGGCCGTCTTCTCTTTTTTTGCCCCCACCCCTCCCAGTTCTCCCTGCTTTTCCAGGCCCCCCAGGAGGTGTCTGAGGGCCCCAGCATTTTCAATATCGGGCTTGCATTCTCCTCTTCACGCCCCTCCCCCTATGCAGTGGGTCTCTCTCTCCATGTAGCAGAGCGGGGAGCGCAGGTAGTGAGGTGTCTCTCTCCCTTACGGGCCCAGACACTGCAGACACTGCTGCGAGGGCACCGTCCCGGTCCCAGTGCCAGCCGAGCCGAGCGCCCGTACCTGTCCCTCTCACGCCGGCGCTGCCTGACCTTTCAGACACAATCGTTTTGTTCATGCTTATTGCTAATCAATAGGCCGCAGGACCTTTTTTCCCTACAAATTTATGCGCAGTGCATTCGCGCTGAGCTGAGTCATCGTGGACAGTGGCCGGGTTTGGCGATACTCACGCTGCCAACCGGCCCGCAGGAGGCTCAGGTGAGGGTACACCCCACGCTGCCGCATCCCAGGTCCGGCTCAGTCGCGCTGATAGGTGACGGGGCCCCGGCTTGGGGGTCGGTTTGGTTTGGGAGGAATCGAAACCCCAGCACCTGTCTGACTGCATGACAGTATTATGCAGCCGCCTTGTCCACGGCCTGCTGCCAAATGTCACTGATTTGTTTGTTTCTCCTCTTCCTCTTTTTGCAAGTCCTTGTGACTGGGACTTGTATGGGACTGTTGCACGGCAAACTGTGATAAACAGCTCGGCAAGGAAGAGAAGCTGTGAAAGAGATTCGGAGGAAACGAAGGCTGTATCTAAGCAAGATGGAGATGGAGGAAATGCACTGCTGCATTTCCTCGCAGTAACCCAGGACATTCAAGAGCAAATGCGATATATTTGATAGCGCTTATGTATATCTGTTTACTCACAGATTGCTGTTGTCATGGCGCCCAGCACCATAGCAGCCCCCACCCATTACCAAGCCAGAGGAGTATAAGAAGCACAGAAAATGAGTTCTCTGGGGGAGGGGCTCCTTTCTCCTCTTATCTCTTCTGCTCCCTCCTGGGTCACCCCATCCTCCCTGTCCACCTCCATTTAGGCTCAGTGGGGGATCTGCCCAATAATAAGCGGTTCTGGTGCCGGACCGTGGGTCCTGCCGCAGCCTGCGGGTATTCCCAGATGTCATCCCCATTCATCAGGGGCCGATCTCAGAGGAGGCTGGGGTGGAGCCGTGTGTGTGTGTGTGTGTGTGTGTGTGTGTGTGTGTGTTACATTGTGGGGACCAGATGTCCATAACGCCTTTCTCAGATACGCACACACACACACTGTGGCTGGCACTCTCTCTCCCCTCCCTCACTCTACATTGCTCCCTCTTTCACCTCTGGCGGGCTTTGGTTTGTGTTAATTTGGCCATGTGGGTTAAGTTCTGTGTGTGAGCAGGGCCCTTGACCCCTCTCCTTCTCTCTCCCTCTCTCTCTTGTTTTTTCTTTTATTATAATATTTTTTATGTTCTTATTCGTTCATTTCAATCTTTAATTCAGGTTTTTCAATCTTTTTTTGTTTACTTGCTTGTTTACTCCCTTTGTTTGATTCTGTGGCAATGACCCATCTTACCAATTGCTTTGGGGTTTTCTTTCCGTTGACGACTGGATTAATAAAGGCTGGTGAAAGTCTCTCTCTCATTCTCTCTCTTTCTTTCTCGCTCTCTCTCTCTCTCTCTCTCTCTCTCATGCACGCCGCTTCATTAAACAGCCTCTCATTGGCTGTGGGAGCACAGGCTCCTGGCTTTGAAGGCATGAATATTCACATGGTGCTGCTTGCCCATTAGGAGTTAATCTGCCATGGGTTTCTGCTCAAGGACATCAGAATTTCAGAATAAATGCTGAAATACAGTCATGCATGTGGAGGAACGGAACAGGCTGCGATTTTGAGATTCATGAAGAAAAGCGGGATGTAAGCAGGGAGTGGGGGGGCAGCCCTGCACGTCACCTTACATACACTGAGCTCTCTGTCTAACCTTAAGGGAGGTTCTAATGCTGATGTGCTTCTTTGAAATATGCAAATGTGCGATGGTATTGCTGTTGTACCCTAAAGAAATGTGCTCTATACAAGTATGCAGATGCAAGCGAGTGTGTGTGTATGTATATGTACAGTACACTGCCCGGCCAAAGAAAAAGTCGCCATTTGAATTTATATCAGCAAATACTTAAGAGCCAATGACTGGATCATTATTACAGCTCAGCTATACGTTATGCAGCAATAAAGTGAAGTCAGCTGAGTACCTGAATCTACTGAATGGCCTGGTTATACCTCCATCCATCATCAATGGATTTTTTTCTTCCCTGTTGGCATGGGCATATTCCAGGACAAGGATGCCAAGATTCATTGGGTTCGAATTGTCAAAGAGTGGTTCAGGAAGCATGAGGAATCATTTTCACGCATGACTTGGTCACCACAGAGTTGTGACCTTAACCTCATTGAAGGTCTTTGGGATGTGCTGAAGGAGGCTTTACGGAGTGGTTCAACTCACTTGTCAATACAGGATCTAGGTGAGAAATTAATGCAAATATGGATTAAAATAAAGGGTGAAATGTTGCTGAAGCCCGTGGAAACAATGTCATGACAAATGTGCGCCATAATCAAAGCTAAAGGCAGTTCAATAAAAAATTCAAATGGAAACTTTTTTTTTGGCTGGGCAGTGTATGTAAACTGGAAATGGACCTAAACTGGCCCATTTGTCGCAGGTTTGCAGGCTGTGAATGACAGCATTTCTATGCAGTGCTGCCCCCCCTGCCCCTCGTGTCTGAGGGGGCTAAATTACCTAGGGGGCCGAGCACATGCGGTGCTTCCCAAGCAGGTGTAGCTCACAAGGCAGTGGCCGCTCGCTGCTCCTACATCAGGTCAGGCTGCGCAGCGCAGTTCACGTCCTCACCAGCGCCGGAACATCAGCCACTGTGCGAGCGGGCGGCGTGGCGGAGTGGCGAGCGGGCGGCGTGGCGGCGTGGGCCTGTATTTATGTGCCACATGTGGATTTTATGTGCTGCTTTCACGCTGATATGCAGCCAAGAGCAGTAAGCAGGAGGTGACTGTCTTTCAGGCAGGTTGGGTTTTAAACGCACATGTTGGCTGACAACACAGACAGCTGTCTTCGCTTCAGCTAGTAATTTAGCATCTCATGCTTTGGTCTTTTAGTACTGTTCCCCATTCATTTGTCCGTCCATCCATCCATATTGCCATCCCAGAGTAGCTAATCTTTTCTGCAGCAGAAACAATGTGCGTGACCTGATTGATGTGGGGCATTGGGGAGGGGGGGTCATTCATCTCCACAAATACTGTCCAGTAGAGAAGAAAGCTGAATCAAGGGCACTTATCAACACTACACTCAGGCAGCTACTGCCTTAGGCTCCAGCTGGACTGACGGCCTCCGTGATTGGCTGATGGCTCGGCGCAGCTGGCTGTCACAGACCAATCCGGAGCAGGCTTTCGCACACCCACTGGGGGCAAACAGTGAAAGCATACACTTGTATCTCCGTGTTCTAGGGGGAATGCAGGAGCTGGCAGCGGGGGATGGGATGGGGGGGGGGGCGGCGGCGGAGATGGCAAGGTCAAGGGGGTGGCGTGGCGGCGACGGACGAGCTGGAGAGCGGCAGAGCGGAGGCCACGGCTGCGGCGTTTCAAAGGCAAACAGGAGGAGAAGATAAAAGGAAAATGGGACGAGTCAGAGCAGTGGAGCTAGAAGTACAGGCAGAGACATCCAGGACACCAGCTGGGCTAAGCCTGGGGGGCTTTAACCCTGCCGACTGTGCAAGCTGGGGGCTGCAAGTGAGGATTGGGGGGGGGGGGGCAGCTGATCAGTCATTCTGCTGCGGATACTGGACTCGTACTGCATCCCGCACACTGCTGATGAGAGGGCTCCTCTGGGGAGGAAAAAGCGGAAGGGGGGGGGGGACATGGTGGAGAGAACTAAAGAACTACAGCAGTAACAGGAAGTGAGACAAGTGCTGGCAGGAATGGAGAGAAGGTGAGAGGAGCAGAGCTGAAGGGTGTCTTTGAAATGGGGAAAGCGTTAGCAAGAGTGACTGAGAGGGGAAAAGTGAGACTGACAGTCAGAAAGGGGCGTGGACTTTAGGGGCTGGGGAGGGGCTAACAGTATTCTGCCAATCAGAGTGAAGCAGGCGGGGCTAGTGACCAAAGGAGAACGGAGGGAGAGAGCAATGTACAGACACGGCAGAGACACCGTGTCCGCTCCGGCAAGGTTGGCAGTGCGTGGCAGCTCTGTCTGTCGACCGGCCACCGGAGAGTACAGACACAGTGCGGGGGGCCGTGACGATGTCTGAGCCAGGCAGCAGGATGCACTCCAAGCGGGCCGGGATCCGGGCCGCCGTGGTCCTCATCGGGCTACTGCACAAGTCCCGTCGGCAGAAGGAGAAGGAGGAGATGGATCGGTGGGTGAACTTTCCCTGTCCTCTTGCTGCCAGGCTCCCAGCTGGCTCTCTCTCTCTCTCTCTCTCTCTCTCCCCATCTAACCATGATCCTGCCAAAAGCTGTGGGACCTCAGTGCAGCCCAGCTCTGGTGCCTCATTCAGCCTTTCAGCGGAAAGTACAAACCTCTGGATGTCCACTTATGCACAGGGTTGGGTGCCAATGTGTGACTGATTACCTGTATGCGCATGTGTGTGTATGTGTGTGTATGTGTGTGTGTATGTGTGTGTGTGAGAGAAAGAGAGAGAGAGAGAGAGAGGTGGAAACAGAATGGTTCATTATATCAGCATGCAAATGCATCTTTCATTGTACGTCAATGCAGGTACAGATGTGTTATCAAGTTACTTGGAGCCTTTGTATGCGTGTGTGTGTGTGTGTGTGTGGCCTTTTGCACACGTGTGTGCATGTTTTGGTTATGGGCAGCATGTGGAACTAGGTCAGCAGGTGTTCCGGGAAAGAGGAAGTACAGGTGAAGCTGGGGGAGGGGGTGTTGGACGAGATGGGGGGGCTGGACAGAGCATGTTCCTCTTCTGCTATTGGAATCATCACTCTGGATACCTGGCAGGGGAGTCTCTAACAAACCCTCGGTCAGTGGGCTGTAGTTATCAGCTGTGTGTGTGCTGTTTGTTTACATTTGTGACCTTGAGAATAATCCAGGCTGAGGTTAAACCCGCTCTGTGCTTCTCTAGAAGGTGAATCGTCCCTGAAAACACTGATGTGTCCGTTCGTGCCTGATGCAGCTTCGCGGCCCGATGAGCTTGGGGGAAAGTTCAGGTGGCGTGTGGCTGGTGGACTTTGGGTGCCGTAGAGCTTGGTTTTGTTTTATTAGTGTATTGATGGCTTTGGTTGTGATGTATGGCAGATATTTAGCACTTTAGCCAGTGTGTGGATGAGGTCTTTGTGTGTGGAGGTTTGAGAGTGACGTTGGGTGTTGGGGACATGAGGTGACGTTTGAGGGTGGTGTTTGGTGATGGGGACATGGGTGATGTTTGAGGGTGGTGTTTGGTGATGGGGACATGGGTGATGTTTGAGGGTGGTGTTTGCAGATGGGGACATGGGTGAGGTTTGAGGGTGGTGTTTGGTTTTTGTGGCATGGTGGGTGTATGGTTACTATTTACTGCCGTATGATGCATGTGCATGTGGATGGAGGTCTATGTGGATGGAGGTCCGGGTAAGACTGCTGTCAGGCCGACAGGCTCCCAGCGTTCCCAGTTCAGGTAAATCAGCGCTGCGTGGTCCTGGGCGCCTGGAAGTCCTAAAATGCCTGACACTGTTGTCATGGAGATAAAGTACCACTGAAGTGTTCGGGGCCTTGAAACGTCTCCCCCTTAAACTCGAGACGACACACCTGCATGCAGATCACGGAGGACGTTCCCGAGTTTTCCGTCGTCACATGGATCAAACAGCAGGGCTGGATTCTGGTTAACCCCCTTCTGTCCCCCTCGGTGTGGTGCTGAGCTACGTGGGCTCTCTGCTGGGGTGACCCTGGTGGGTGGCTGCTTTAGGTTAAATAAAGCATGTGTGTGCGTGTCTGTGTGTGTCTGTGTGCTGTAATGAAGACGCAATCAGAGGCTCCAGACGGCCGTCGGCCCCTTTATCACTCGCACCGTGGTTATGACTATGGAGCCCCCCCCCACCGCGCCGCCCTGCAATCAGGGGCCCGTCTCAGCAGGAGCAGAACGTCCAGCATCGCTCACCCCGCATAATCCGCCACGTGCAGCCAGAACACAGCAGAGCCCCCAGTATGTTTGACTTTGTCTCAGCAGCCGCCCTCTAAATACAGATCTGGTGTTTCTTGCACTCTCTCAGCCTCACTCCTCCGCCAGCACCAATTCCCTCCTATTCCATCACTCTTTCCCTTGTTCTGTGCTGCTTTCTCCCCTGACCTGCTTTCTCTCTCTCTCCCTCACTCTCTCTCTCCCTCTGTTGCTGTCCATCCATCATCTGTAGCTGGCCATCAGCAGCTCCCTGCCCTTCCTCCTGTGTCACAGCTGGTGTCTGATCAGGATGCTTGTCTCCAAGATCACAACGACCTCCTTTAGCTCCTGTGCTTATTTCCTTTGCTTGCGCATTGGCTAATCTGAGGAGCCCAGTGTGGCCTCTGCTCCCCAGGCCGCTCTCTAAGGGCAGCACCCTGAGGCAGATTGCCAGTTTCTTCCAGACAGTCATATGTTAAACTGGCCCACAAATCCAATTCCCTCAGTCACCCTGCCCTCTGCTGGCTCATGGCAGTACTGCAGTAGCATTTTGCCAAATGCTAGCCGCTCTATTTTTTCATTTTGTGCCTCTGTCCCCCCCCTCCGCAGTTCAGAGGTCACAGAGCAACCCCCACTAGATTCGCTGGAAGCCCTGCTTGCTGTCCTCTGTTCCTATTTGTCCTTCATAGTGAGGAAGATGAGCGCAAAAGAGGCCAGCTGATATATGTCACATGTCCAGGATAGCGACATGGCGAGCGCAAGCCCCTTGGTATGGAGCAGGGTCTGTATCAACTCATATGCTGATGGATGGGCTTGCAGGCGGTGATTCATTGATGAGACAGTGACTGCAAATGGGCTGTATGGTGATGGATGGTTTCCATTCAGACAGCCAATGGGAAGAGGCCAGGCTTCAGGCTGCAGCCTCATTGGCTGGCAATGCCTTGACCTGACTGTACGCCTGACTGTACACGTTCCATTGTGTTGCCAGCCTGTTGAATCTCCTGGAAGTGTGTGTGTGTGTGTGTGTGTGTGTGTGTGTGTGTACATGAGTGAGTTTGTGTATCCATATACCAGGTTATGTGTGTGTTTTGAGTGTGGAACTCTGGCCATATGTTTGTGTATATGCAGGGTTATTTGTGTATGTGACTGTGACAGATATACTTTATTGATCCCAAGAATGGAATATACAAGTGTGAGTGGGAATTGATATAACACATTGTGGGGACCTGTTGTTTTGACATGTTTTTGGTCCCCACAAGAGAGAACTCTATTTTAGAAAAATCTATGAATGCATTAAAAAAACTAAAAATGTTGAAAGTCTTGTATTTTCTTTGGTTACTTATGGTTGAGGTTTGGGCTGGGTAGGGGCTAAGGTCATCATGTTGGGCTTAGAGTTTACCCCATAGAAATGAATGGAGAATCCCCACAAAGATATAATTACAACCTGTATGTGTCTGTGTAACTGTGTGTGTGTGGGGGGGG